TATATAGTTTTCCCAATTGCCCCTGCACCTCCCTCCACCCCCTACCAGCTACTAGTGCCCTCCTCCCTAATGACTATATCTTTATTTTGTATTTATTCTGCACATCCATCAATACAGACTCATTGTCTTTCCTGACAGAACCCAAGGCCCTTGAGATCAGGGACTGCTTCAGTTTTTGTCTTTATATCTGGTAGCATCTAGCATGGTTCTTGACACCTAGTAGGCACTTAATAAATGCTTACTAAATTGAAGGGACTGTAATCAATCAGTCAGTCCATAAACATTTATTAAGCACCTACTATGTACCAGGCATAGTCTGGGGATACAGTCCCTGCTTTCTAGGAGCTCAAATGCTCATGGGGAAAACAATATACAAACAAATAAACTATATATAAGATAAACTGGATAGAATCAACAGAGGGGAAGGCACTAGAATTAAGGGGGTTCAGGAAAGGCTTCCTATAGAAGGTATTGTTTTAGCTGAGACTTGAAGGAAGTCAGAGAAGCCAGGAAATGAAGATGAGGAGGAGAGAGGGTTCCCTACATGAAGGACAGCCAGTGAAAATGCCTGGAGTCTAGAAATGGAATGCCTTGTTTGAGGAACAGCAGAGAGGCGGATGCAATCAAAGAGTATATGGGATGGGGGAAATGTAAGAAAACTGAAAGGGGGCAGCTAGGTGGCACAGTGCATAGAACTTCAGCCTTGAAGTCAGGAGGACCTGAGTTCAAATCTTGCCTCAGACACTTGACACTTAACTAGGTGTGACCCTGGGCAAGTCATCTATCCCTGCTTGCCTCACCAAAAAAAAAAAAAAGAAAAGAAGGATGGGCATGATAGCCTGTCTCTGCTAAACCATTTACTCCAAATACGGTCTCAACCAGTACAGAGTGCTTTGAAATTATTTCCACTCATGTTCTGGATACCATATTTCTATGACTCCAGCCTCACATTTGCATGAGCTTTTGGGGGCAGACATTTCACACTGAAATCCTTAGGTCTTCCATATTTTTCCCCCACTTTGTATTGGTCTCTATCCATATTTGCAAACATGCAAGTGATAACGAGTTCAAAGGATCACAGATTTAGAACTAGAAGGGACCTTAAGGGTCAACTGGTCTAACCTGGCATTGTACAGATCTGTGTAGATCTGTGCCCCAGAACTGTCCGGAACCATCAGCATTGGGTGCCAAGGCAGCCAGGTGACACTTGTTCCTGAGGTCCAGAGAAGTTCAATGCCTTTTGCTCAAGGTCACTCTGGACGGATAAATGGAAAAGCCAGGATTCCAACACCAGTCCTACGACTCCAAATCCAGCTGTCTTTCTACTATATCATGCTGACTTCTACCTATTTTTCATCTTGCTAGCTTAGATGATCTTCTAAATCCACTGATATCTCTTTGAATTCTGATCCTGTTAATTTAAAGATGTCAGCAGTATTAAAGCTCAGAATGTCACTAAGGGGAACAGAAGGCTAAGGTCAGCCAAGGGAGTTTTTGGTTTGTTTTAGCTGCAGGGGGGGGAAATGAGGATCAAAGAAAGGACAGGGCTACTGCTCACAAAACAGATTAGATGATGAATGACAACCCAGAGAAGACAGAGCTGTTCAATTTTCATCTTGTTTTTGAATTATCTGCCAAGGAGAATGATCTTTGGACTGGAAAGAACAGAACAAAATGAAACAATAAAGCATCAGCAATAAAGACCATAGATTTAAAACTGCATGAACATTAGTGGTCACATAGTCCAACCTCCTCATATCACAAATAAGAAAATAAGCTCAGGAAGCATCATCGGTTGGATCTGAACTCAGGTTCTCTGACTTTACTGCCAATGCTCATTCCACCGTGTCACAGGGCAGAGTAAGAATACCCCTAGCCTCTGATGAATTCAAATCACCTGACCAGATGAGCTACATACACACATGACCTAAAGTTCTACAATTTGTTTTTAAAAAAAAATTGACTTTACAAGAAAAGGTAGGGTAGGCATGAAGAAACTGGTTAATGCGACTGTTGAGCCACCGTCACCAATACTTAAAAGATCACAGAAAACAGGAAACAGAAACTGGAAACAGAAAACAGGAAAGGCCAGAGGATTGAAGAAAGGGAATGTCTCGATTTTCAAAAAAAGCTAAGAGAATGGAATTAGCAAACTCTAGGCCAGCAAAGTTGACTCCAATTCCTGGAAAAGTTCTAGAACACATTGACGAGACAGTTGGTGGTTGGAGTCAAGATGGCGGAGGGAGAGGAAGCATTAGATTCTGGTTTGTCCATCATACCTCTTCAACAAAGATCTAGAAAATGCAGCAACCTGAATTCTGATCAGAAAAAAACCAAGAGAAAATCCCAATGAGTTTATTTTTCCTGCCCAGGGGAGCTGAGGGAGACAGAGAGGAATGTATGGCTGCTGGGGACAAGGGCTGCCCAGGAGGGCAGGAGCATTGCTAGTACCCATGGACACAGAGAGGATCAGGACCGGGTGCCAGGGCAAGAGGCACCAAGGCAGAAAAAAAGAGATTGGAAGGCAGGAAGGACTAGGTTAGAAAGAGATCCCAGGGGATCCCACAAGAGCTGGGTATGAGAACAAGTGTCACCTGGCTGCCTTGGCACCCAATGCTGATGGTTCCAGACAGTTCTGGGGCACAGATCTACAGTGGAGAAGAGCAGTTGTGAGTGTTGGCCTTTGCTGTGCACTGCACAAGGAAAAGGATACCGGAAGCCAACATCTAGTTGTTTGACTCTAATTCCAGGAGCACAGCACAGCACCCCAGACTAAAGGGACAATTTGTTATGGGTTTTGCTCTTCTTGCCTTCTCAATGGATAGAGGAAAGGAAGAGGGAAGGAGAGAACTGGGAACTGAAAATAAAAGAGAATTTAGATGAAAGAGAAAGATGGTTAGTCAATCAACATCCAGAAATGGAAGCAGTGATCACAAAGAACCAGAACGGCTTCAGCTAAAATAAGTCATGCCAGGGGTCAGAAGCAAAATGGTGGAATAGCAGGAAGAAATACAGCCAGCTCCTTCCCTTTCCCCTCCCTCACCCCCACCCTGACAAAACTACTCCAAACAGAGCTAGAAAATACATCAGACCAAATCCTGACTGGGATATGCAGGCAAATTATATTTATAGCATTCCCTTGATTTAGCAACTCTTCCCAAACAGGAATTTAAGTTACTCCACTATGACCTGAAGTTCTACAATTTGTTTTTTTAAAAAAAATCAACTTTACAAGAAAAGACAGGGTGGGCATGACTGGATGACAAGTTTGTGGGAACAAGATGTGGGGGTTTCGGTGGACTGAAAAGTTGATAAGAATCTCCAGTGTGACCCCGCAGCCAACACAGCTAATTCTCTCCTAAGCTACAGCAAGATAGAAACAATCCAGGACTAGGGAAATCAGAGTCCTGCCCTGATCAAGTATTGTGCTCAGGCAAGGGAAGGACACTGATGACAGGAGACATCCAGAAGAAGGTGACCAAGGTGGTGAAGGACCTCCATTACTCTATCTTGAAGGTCAATTGAAAGAAATGACGATGTATCGTCTAGAAAAGACTTAAAAAGTGACATGATGGATTTTTTTTAAATCATCTGAAGAGCTGTCATATAGAGAAGGGACTAGATATAGTCTTCTTGGCCCCCCAAGGGAAAAGTAGGTGCCACAGACATAAATAAAATGGAAGCAGATTTAGGATTAATTGCAAAAGTTGAAGCTGTCCAATAGTGGAATGCACTGCCTTAGGAGGTACTGGGCTTCTTCCTCTCTAGAGGTTTTTAAGTGGATAATCACTTGGAATGTTGTGGAGTAGGTCCATGAATGGGTTGGAGGAGATGGCATCTGACATCTTTTCCAACTCTGCTATTCTGTGATTCTAAGTAACAGGACTTGAGACCAGGATTTGTCTCCTAGTTAAATGTTCTTTCCACTGCACCCCACACTCTGCAAATAGGAATGCAAGAGTTTGACAAATAGGAGCTGTCTGGGTTCATACTTCCATTCTAGGCAAAATGGAGGCAATGGCCTTCCTTTGCTGCTGTAAACCTCCAGTCCTCTCCATATTCATCCTCTCTTTCTCTACTTTCACAGATTTCTCCCTCTCCATGGGGGCCTTCCTCTCTATTTTTCAGCCTCCCACATTCTCTCCAAACTTTCAAGAAACCATAACTTGACTCTACAACGTCATTCACCTCATATTTAAACCCTCCCTCTGGAGAAAAATTTGAACTGGTGCAGCCTTTATTTTGTCACCAACCACTAATCACTTTAACCTCTTTTGTTGTTGAATGTTTCTGTCATGTCTGACTCTTGGTGACCCTATTTAGGGTTTTCTTGGCAAAGATACTGGAGTAGTTTTGCCATTTTCTTCTTTCAGCTCATTTTACAGATGAGGAAACTGAGGAAAACTGGATGAAATGACTTGCCTAGGGTCACACAGATAGTAAGTATCTGAGGCCAGATTTGAGCTCAGGTCTTACTGGCTCCAGACCTAGCACTGTATGCATTAAGGTGCCACCTAGTTCCTGTAATCTGATTTCAATCCTTACTAGTTCACTGGGGCTACTTGAAGCAGCTGGTGGCACAGAGTGAGGTAAGCTCTGGTAAGACAACTAGCTGCCTGACTTCACAAGGCAGTTGTAGGCAAATAGTCTGATACCACTAAAGGTGCTCATATAAAATCAAGTTACTATTATCAAAGTGTTCCCTCCCTCATTATCCTCTCTCCTGGCTCTTGATCTCTGACCCTGCTTCTATTCTTTTATTCTTTCCTTCCCATTCTCCCCTTCATCACTCTGTACCTCTCATTCCCCTCCCCTCATTCTTCCATTTACTCCTTTCCATCCCAAGTAGATGACCTCTCCCTTCCCAACCAATCTTCCTAATTGTGTGCTCTGGGTCACTGAAACTGAAGCCTTGGGTGGAACAAAGCCTCTGGTGGTCATTAGTTCTCCTTATGCCTGTCCTCATGACGCCTTGTCCATTCTGTGCTTGTCTGTTTCAGAAAGGAGAAGCCAGGGATATCAAAGTGAACCCGCCTTTGGATTCAGCCCTAGATGCTGCCGATGGCGACTGGCTTGAGATGTTTTCTCATGGCTGTCCTGATAATAGCAGTGGAGATTAAGAAAGCTGGTAAGGCCAGACCCCTAAAGAACAAATGACATCAGGGTATTAGCTGGGGGAGAAATGGCAGCCACTAAACATCTTTTTATGGGGAGGAAGGAATTATTCCAAGCCATTCTAACACTTTTCAAAGGACAAAGTCCATCTTGGAACAATTCCAACTCATTTACTTCCTCAGGCCACTTGACCCTATCCCTGACCCCCAGGCTCTATCCTTGACCCCTAAACCTGGCAGTGTAATACAATGAAAGGTCTTGGAGCTGGTAGCTAAGGGGTCTAGTTCAAATCTAGACACTGCCTTAGACAATTTGCTTGACTATGCTTCAGTTTTCTCATTTGTAAAATGAGAATGGGGGTCAGGGAAAGGGTTGGGAGGAATAACCCCCCCACACCTCTCAGTACTGGGAAGAACCAATGTACATGAAAGCATTTTGGAAACTTAAAAGCCCTACACAAATGTAAGGTGTTATTTTAATTTCTCAAAACACTAGAAGGGTCCTTGGAGATCAATGATGACAACTCACTCATTTCCTCAATGAGAAACTGAAGCCCAAAGATGCAAGTGACCAGCCCAAAGTTATATGGAAAGTCAATCACAGAATGACAGAATGTTAGATGTGGAGGTGATTTCAGAAACTATATACTCCAATCCTCTTGTAACACAGAAAAAGAAATAGACCCACAGAGGTGAGGTAACTTACCCAATGATATTCAATGTCTACAAAAACTGTAGGAAGTATTACTAAAGGGAAGGCAGGTGAATATCTAGAAACGGAGGCAAAGATCACAAAGAGTCAGAATGAAGCCTTCCCTCGTGGTTTTCTTGTTGTGTTTCAACAGACTTACTGTATTGGAAGGTCAGAGAAATGCTGCAAATATAGCATACAAAGTTTACTTAGATTTTAGCAAGGCATTTGATAAAATTTGTCATGTTCTTCTTGTGGAAAAGATAGAGAGATGTGGGCTGCAATCAGATAAATTCAGAAAATGCTGGACCAAACCTCCTAGTCTTTAGAATGATACAAAATGAAACGGGCTATCTTCATGAGGTAATGGGCTCCCCCTCATGAGTGGTCTTCAAGTAATGGCTAGATGACTACTTAACAGGGATGTTGAAAGCCTCTGAGGTCTCATCTAACTCTGAGATTCTGCTTCTTAGTAACAGTTGTATTCACAGTCTACTTTGAGGGAGGCCATAACCACCAAATTCAACTGCATAAACTTGGCCCTTGTTTTGGTTGTAAGGACTTCCTATCTTCCTGCCTGAAATCATCCTTCAATCCTCCCAGGCCCTTCCCTGGGAGAATCTCACAGAATCACAAATTTGGAAGGGATCTTGGAGATCTTTAGGCCCAATAACTACCTAGCCCACCCAAGGCATGACCCTTGCCAACAACATCCCTGATGAGAGGTTATCCAAACTTAGCTCAGTGATCACAAATTGATAAGGAACTTACGAGCCATCGAGGGCAGTCATTTCATTTTTGGAGCACAGGGCATCTGTTGAAGGAAGAAGGGAGAATGGGGGAAGCAGCAAAAGCAGGGAGCACAGCCTTGAATAAATCATACTGTGTGCCTACATTCTCTCACAACTCCCAACATTTTATCCAGGTATCAGATTAAAACGAGCATCAAATGCAACCTTGAAGAAAAAAAGACAACATGCAATTTGAGTATATGGAGAAAGGGGACTGGCAGCCCCACCCATTCGCTTTGGTAATGGAGGTGAGGGGAAAGAGGAGGTCTGGTCCAGGTCACAAGGCCTACTCATGCTAGAGTCCCATGTTCATTTCCATTTGTGGGCCCTACTTTTTTTTAAGCAGTCAATATTCTTTCAGTTTTACTATTTGATAAGCAGCACTGTGCCAAGTGCTATGGAGGAAGACACAAGAGAAGGCTATACCTGTGCCCTTCCCCTCAAAGTGCTAAAGAGAACAGATTAATACATATATAGGGTCAGGCATGTAATTTAGAGTCACATATAGAATCTTAGAATCTCACAAACATAGATTATGAAACTTTAGCATGCTAGAAGCTCAGAATGACAGAATCTTAGCACTGGAAGGGACCTAGAGCTCATCTAGTACAATAAGGAACAGCGGACAGAGTGCTGTACATGGGGTCAGGAAGACCTGGGTTCAAATCCTACCCCATACACTTGTTACCTGGGCAATTAATCAATCAATAAGCACTAATTAAATGCTTACAGTTGTGCCAGGCACTGTGCCACGCATTGGCAAAAATAGCCCCTACCCGCAAGGAGCCAAATTCTAACGCAGGAGACAATATGTACATAAGTACGCACATACAAGGTGTAATCAGATTAAGATGCCTCATTTTTTCAGCTGTAAAATAAGAGGGTTGTACTAGATAGCCTAAGGTCCTTTAAAGCTCTATCTTATAAACCTCTCACCCCTAGTAGGTGCTCAGTAAATAATACTTGCTGTTTAATTGATGACTGACAATAAGAAAGAAGAGAGATCCCTTTCTGGTTAGACTTGATCTCTGCTTTGCCCAGCCTTATTTTTTGTTCTTTAATAAATCCAGCTCAGTTTTAATTTTTTTTAAAACTTATTTTACTTTTTTCCAATTAATAAGCATTTATTTTCTTTCTCTCCCATTTCTCCCCCTGAAAAGAACATGGGGGGTGGGGGGCCTAAAAACCTTGTAGCAAATCTACATCGTAAACGAATCCCCACATTGGCCATGCAGAAAAGCCCACGGCTCAGTTCTTGAGTCCATAATCTCTTTGTCATGAGGCAGACAGCATGCTTCACCTGGAATCATGGCTGGTCACTGCAGTGATCACTGATAGTACTTAAGTCTCTCAAAATTGCTTGTGCTTATGTTACTACTGCATCAGTTTTTTTCCTGGTTCTGCTCACTTCCCTGTTCACCAGTTCTTACAAGTCTTCCTGGGTTTTTCTAAAGCAGTCCCCTTCATCGTTTCTTACAGTACAGTCATATTCCACTTATTATATACCACAATTTGTCCAGCCAATCCCCAACTGATAGGTACCCCCTTCACTTCCAGTGCTTTGTAACTACAAAAAAAAGAGCGGTTAGAAATCTTTCTGGAGACAGAGCTTCCCCCTCCCCTTTTTTTTTTTGACCTCTTTGGGGCATAAGACTAGTAGTGACATCTTTGCCCAGCTTCCGAAGGCTAACCTTTCCCTTCACGTTCTAGGCTGCGTGGACATCTTCAGCTCCAGAGAACCAGTTCTCCTGCAAGAAGGAGAAAAACTGAGTTTAAACTGCACCTTGTCGTATAAGAAAAAAGAGGCCAAGGGTCTGACAGTGTTTTGGTGTAAGAACAAGATGGCACAAGGCTGCTCTCCTAGGACCAGCCTGAAGCAGCTAAATCTAAAAAGGGAAGCGGAAGTAGGGGAAGAAGACACTTTGAGGGAACATTACACCTCCATAGTCTTTACCATACTTCAGGCCAAGCCAGCGGACAGTGGCATCTACCAGTGCTGTGCAAGCAGCCAGAATTCCAACGTCATCTTTCAGAGCCACTATGTCACTGTGACAATCACAGGTGAGATGTCCAGGGGCTTCTCCCCAACCCACTAGCTTCCAGAGTCTCTCCACATAGCATATGCAACCTGTCTAGGCACACATTCCCAAAGCCACTGATGAGGATGGCAAGCAGGGTCATTAACTCATGGCCAGGGGAAGCTCCAGAAACCAAGAGGGAGGACAGAACACATATGTGCCCTGCTAGCCTGTTTCCATAAAGGCATGCCCTCCTACTAAAAGGACTGCAACATGGTAGATCTGTAGTGAACCTGAAGAGCTCATTTAATCCAGCCTTCTCATTTCATGGATGAGAAAACCAATTCCCAGAGAAGTACTGTCACTTAAATAGTAAATACCTAAGGCAGGACTCAAACCCAGGTCTTCTGACTCTGAAGCTAGCATTCTTTCCATCATCCCATAGATTTAGCAGTTCTTGTATTCTCTGTACCTTGCAGTCATCTGTCATTGTAATGCTGTAGACTGCCATAGGAAAACATTGCAGAAAGCCTTCCTGTTCCCTTCTCATGTTTTCCTCAAAGATACCTTTGCCTATTTGCAGATCATTGTCATAAAAACTTTACAAAGATAAGAAAGTAAGTATCTGAGTCCACAGTAACCGATATTTTTTAAATTGCTTTTTGGGGCTAACATTGTTCATTATTATCTCCATTATTTTGGTATCGTTTCTTTCTTGACATGTCTTGTAAAACTATCTCCATCTTTCAAGAGTCTGCTGATGCCACACATTTCCTCAGTGGGTACCTGGTCTGGTCCAACACTCATCTTGAGCTCTTAAGTTCTAGTTTGATTTCCTGAGGAACTGAGATGTTGGGGCCCAAATGGAGTGTCACTGATGATGGAAGTAGATCATTATAAAAACACTGATAAACGTGTTCCATTTTACATCCATTTGTTGCCTTCTTCCCAAATGCATTAATGAAGAAGGTCAAGGCTGAGGGTAGCTGAATGACTTGCTTGTGGTCACAAGCTAGTAAGTGTTTGAGGCAGTATTTGAACCTGGGTCTCTCCTGGTGCTTTTCATTACACCAGGACACCTCCTTAAGAGGCGAAGTGATCTTTGGTGATTTCGTTGCAGTTCACATTAAGTTTTCCAAATGCTTGGTTTAGCTGATACTGCTTTTCATGATTTTATGAGTATCCTCCGCAGCATTTCATGAGTTTTCATTCTAAAGTGGTCTTGTGCTTGTAACCACCTGTCTCCACATGGCAAAGAGATCAAATGTCTGCTGATCCAGGCAATTTCTGCCTCTTTTTGCCTCTTCTTTGTAGTAACTGCTTTACACTGGTTAAACTTTTGTGGGAATGGTGATAATCAAGGAAACAGGTTCCTTTTCCATTCCCCATTTTTCAGCACAGTAGTAATAACAGCTGACATTTATAGAGTGCTTTTAGGTTTACAAAGTATTTACATATACAATCTACTTTTTTATTTATTTCTTTTTTTTTGTCTTTTTTTTTTCTACTAAATGTTTTTTGTTGTTATTGAATCCTTTCTTTCTTTTTTTGGCTAGGCAATGGGGTTAAGTGACTTGCCCAGGATCACACAGCTAGTAAGCGTTATGTGTCTGAGGCCAAATTTGAACTCAGGTCCTCCTGAATCCAAGGCCAGTGCTCTATCCACTGTTTCACCTAGCTGCCCCCTACATATACAATCTATGTGTGTAAATCACTTTGCAAATTAACCAGTCAGCAAGCTCTTATTAAGTGCCTACCCTCTGCCAGGCGGGAAAAAAAAGTCCCTGCTTTCAAAGAGCTTACATTCTAATAGGAGAAATAACATGCACATAAATCAGTGCATACAAGATAAATACAGAGCAGACAAAGGTAGCAACTTAAGAGAGGAAGACACTGGGAGCTTAGAGCTCCAGGAAAGGCCTTAATGAAAAAGGTGGCCCTTGAGGCAAGTCTTGAAGGAAGCCAGGGATTCTAAGAGGTAGAAGTTAGAAAGGAGAGCAAGCCAGGTACAGGCAACAACCAGTAGGAAGGCACAGCCATGGGAGTGGAGCATTCTGTGTGGGCCTCTAAGGCTAGACCTTAGACATGGAAAGAGGTAACATGCTACAACACTGTGAATATAGGAAGGGGCCAGACCGTGAGCTTTAAATGCCTTCCCAAGGAGTTTAAATTTAATCCCAGAACTTTAAAATGCTATCCATCAGTTGTGGTTATTATCCTCACAATAACCCTAAGAGGTAGGTTATTAACTGGCCGAGGCTCAGAAAGGTTCAATGATTTGCCCATGGTCACCCAGCTAGTAAATGTCAGAAACAGAATTCAAACCTGAGTCTCTTGTAAATCCAGGGTGCTTCCCAGGCTATATTAGGCTGCTTCTTCCTAATTTCACTACACTGAAATGAGATTGCACAAACATCATCTCATTTTACTTCTACTGAAATTTTAAATTAAAGATTTTTATTGAGAATAGCAATAGCATAAGGAAGTCAATGCTGGTCCATTTTTACTGAATTTGCTAACTCTCCTGGTGCCATCTCAGGAACACCTGGAAGACAGTATAGTACACTGAAAGTAATGCTGGGGTTGGAATCAAGAGACCTGGGTTGGAATCCTGGCTCTGTCACTTACTCCCTGTGTGACCTGAGACAAGTTATTTAATTTCTCTGGCCCCCAGCTTCCTCCTCTTCCAAACGAAGCTGTATTAGATCATTTCTAAGGTCTCGTCCAGCTCCAAACCTGTGATCTTACAATACTCTTATTGTCTTAACCAACAGAGACTAGGGAGTCAAGGACAGGAATTCTTTAGCAGCAGAGAGATGTACATTAAGCCTCTCTATCTTCCCCTGGGGCGCCTTAATGAAGACCAACCAAGACTAGCCAATGGAAGTGACAACATAAAGCGTTTATCTTAGACCCAAGAATGGTCCTTCTCCGTAGGCTTGGCAGAAACAGGAATGAGTGACCGAAGGAAGTTAGGAATTATCTGTCCTCCCAACATGTTCGGATTCTCATTTGTCTGGGATGGTTTAGGAGCCGGTTTCAAGAGGAGGACGCTAGAGACCAGGTGGCTTGTCGATGTTCATGATAAATACCAAGATAACTTCAGTCATTTAAATGCAACAGTGAGCTCAATCCAACCAAATGAGCTCCAAATAGGATCTCAAAACCCAGCAAGGAAACAACTGTTCACTGGTTCAGGAAGCCAGAGAAAATAGGACTCTGGACAGACCCTGACACATGTGAACGTGTTCCCCAACAATGAATGCGGGGAAAGGAGATATCAACCCTCTAACACATGGCAGGTGCTTAAAAGTGTTAATAAGACTAATCTGCATCAGTGGAAGGAGTTTTCATATGAATTCATATGAATCATAAGTAACGATTTTTTTTCTAAAGCCTAAAAAAAAAAATCACCATCCAAAAGCACTCATTAAATACCTATTTAGACACGATACTACAGCAGGAGACAGAAAAGAAATTTGCAAACTTTAAAGTACCATATAAATGCAAGGTGCTACTATCCTTGGAAGTGATGATGAAAAGGGAAGATTGATGAAGGCAGGTTAACAGACTCAATGACCACCGACATCCCCTTTAAACCTGATCATTTTGTGTTTTGAACCAGAGAAAGGGAACTACACCGAGACAGAACCGAAACACCAAGAAAAGGCCTTACCTAGCCACAGTGAAAGATCATTCAAGACGAGCTCCCTGAAGGAAAAAATCTGGGGACTAACGGTCATAGGCTTGCTAGCCCGTCAAGGTATGTCCAGGAAGGGGGATTACCTGAGTGTGACCTCAGGGCCATGGACCTTCTACATGATTGGGAAAAAAGGTGACCTGGGTCTCTAGGGAAAAAGCTAGCACTGCCCAATTCTCCGATGCTTCATTGTTCTATGTCCCTATTTATTCTAACACAGAAGAGATAACTAGAACTGGCTAGGCCTTCCATTGGGAGGGAATTCAGAGGATTTCAAGCTTTCTTTGGGTGAGTAGTCCTTTCCTGGAAGGAAAAAAGACCTGTCAAATATCCAGCAACAGCTTCTAATTCTTCCCTGGAAGACAAGCAGGAGAAACACTAGGAAAATAAGCCATTAGCCATTACATGGAAGTAGGCAAAGCAGAGAGGATAGATTCTGGTTTGCCAGACAGGTGCTTGGTTTTAAACACTGCAGCCAGCCCCAGGGACAGAATAACAGGTGGATAGAAGGGTCAGGCTAATAATTTGTATGTCAAAACATCCGTAATAGGGACCAAAGGGAACCATCTAAGAACCTAAATATCTCCTAACTATGAGGGGAAGGCTTTCTCAAGATGAAATAGGCTCTTCCTGCCCCATCCCCCAAAGGTTAAATGTTTCAAGCAATAGAAAAAGTGACTTTTGGGGACCAGACATCAAGGCTAATAGCTCAAAGATGTTTTTGCATTCTCTTTTATAGGCTGTTAAGCTTTTCTCAATCAAGACATATTTACTGAGTTGCCAGTGCACGTAAGCAAGGCATCTACTTCTCCCTAATTACGTGTAGTAAAGTGCCAGGCTTGGAGTCAAGTCCCTGAGTGGCTCTGCCACTTGACACCTGTATGAATCTGGACCAGTCACTAGATGCTGATAGGTCCCAATTCCCTCATCCATAAAATGAGTACATTGAACTAGATGGTCAGCATCCCTGTCAACTATAATCTAGGATCCCTATCTATTCTACCTTACATCTTTCCATAGTTACCGCCCTAAGCACTTACTACCATTTGCCTCCTAACTGGTCTCCTTACTTTAGTACTATCTCTCTCCTCCTTCTTCTCCTACACAGCCGCCATATTTATCTTCCCAATGCATGGTTCTCATGTCCCTATTGCTCAAAAACCTTCCACTGCTCCCTCTACCAAATAAACCCTAAATTTTTTAATTGTTGAATGAATAGGAATTTTATTCACTTAATGAATGAACAAATGAATGAAAAGCATTCATTAAATGTTTACTACATTCCAGACACTGTAGCAAGAGATGGGCATAAAAACACAAACAAGCAAGACAGTACCTGCACTAACGGAATTTATATTCCAATAGGAGAAGACGAGTATAGAGACATATATAGACATATATAGAAAAGGAATGTGTAGAAGTGGCTAGGGAGGAGTGTTTCTAGAAAGAGAAGTAAAAGAAAATGGTAATTGGAGTAAACAGTGATTAGAGTAAAGGGGCAACCAACTGGCATACCCTTACCAGGGACAGGAGTGTGGTTTCATAATTGCTCTCAGAGCTACAGTTGGAGAGGAAGGGATGGGGAGGAGTGTAAGGGGCCTGGGAAGTGGGAAGATAAGGGGAAGTGCTCACCAATCAGAGCCTGGAATAAAGGAGGGGATGTTCTGTTCGAGGTGGAGTGGTCTGAGTAGTCCCAGAATACCGACTCAAATCCTAGAAATACCAATGTTTTTGCATAACAAATAGATCTCTGTAGCAGGCCTTTTTATTTCCCCAGAAATGTTCCTTATCACTGTCCTCCTCCAATCCCCATACCAATCCTAGCTATTTAACTGCAGAACAACCACAGGGCCCAAATCTTAGGATGACCTTAGGGGCCTATTAGATGCTGCCATTTTTGAACCATTTTGGCTGAACTCAGGTCCTGTCAAATAGCTACACTGTTCTGAGACTAGAAGACGGCAAAGAATAAAACAAGGCTGTAAGGAAAGCAGTCAGAGCTTAGACACATTCCTTGGCGCTCACCACCATCCGTAACTCCAAGACTTTCTTCTACTCCCTCTTTTTCCTTTTCCATACAAGGGACAAAGAGTTTATGAAGTTAGGAATGACAGACTTGATTCTTTAGTTGACTAGCTCAAGTTTCCCACTGCATAATAGAAGAAATTTAAATACCTGGTTGTATGCCAGGAAATAAGCTTTAGTAATTACGTTCCATCATTCCTCTATGCTCCCTGCACTGCTCCCATGCTCACAAAATTTCTTTTATACAACGAGTTTTGCTGGTGTTGGAAATTACTAATTAGTGCGGTAATCCAAATCTCTGTTCTTTTTTCCATAGGTTTGTAAGAAGTCTGGGAAAGACTTCAAAAATAGGGGCATCAAACTCTCCAAAAGAAAATCTCGGCTAAAATTTAAGCTATCTTTTTCCTCCTATATTTCACATCATAAATCCGACCAAGAGCAGAAGGCTCTTTGAGGTGGGGAATAATAACCACAGACCAGGAATCAGGAGAACTGAGTTCTTCTCCCAGCTCTTCCAATGGCTAGCTCTATGACTTTGGAAAAATCACTTCCCCCTCTGAGCCAATTGCCTCCTTAATAAAATGATGAGTTTGGTATGGATGGTCTGGCTACCCTGAAGTCTGAATTCATCTGCTAAGCAGTACCTAGAAGAAAACCGAAGGAAGTTCAAGCATACAGTAAGCCCATCTTCTTGATTTTATTTTCATGTAAATAAAAAGATAGATCAGCTTTTAAAAAGGAAAAGCCATTGTCTGGTTTAAATAAAACAAAAACAAAAAAACCTTTATTGAACAGTATACTAGCCCTACTGAGGAAAAAAAAAAAAACACCTCTGGGCTCACAAGGCTTAAACACTAGTGGAGAACATATATAAATGAGAATGGTAAATGCAGCCTGTGAAATATCAGGGGAGGTACAATGTGCTCTTGGGATTTAGACAAAGGAGAGGTTCACATCTGAAGGGGGTAGCAGATTACACTTAAGAAGACTTCACTGATAAGTCCTTGGAAGCTCAGCACGATTTTCAGCAGGCAGAGATGTGGTCAGGGGAATGTTCCAGGTGGAAAGAAAAGAGGGAACAAAGGCACTGAGGTGGGACAAACAGAGAAAGGTCAAGAACCTCTAATTAGACTAGAGTATAGTGTGTATGGGATTAGAGAAGCAGGAGGGGGCCAGACTGTGGAGAGCTTTTAACTCCAGATTAAGGCAATAAGGAGCATGGACTTCCTTTGGTAGATAACCAATAATCATTAAATAGAGTTGGAGGAGGGGGAGTCTTACTGAAATTAATCTGGCAGCACTATCCAAAATGGACAGTGTGGGAGAAGAAAGGTACACAAGTGCCTAAAAAACAGTTGGGAGTCTTAGTAAATATAGTCTAGATGCAGGAAATGGGGGAAGACATTCTGGAGGCAAAATCAATCTCTAAGATCAGACAATGGACAGAAGGGAAGTAGAAGATGGACAGGATTGGTGGTGCCATTAACAGAAAATGAAAAAGTCAAAATAAGCTAGTTTTCAATTTATTCCTATACATCCAAGTTGTACTGGTGAGAGTGATATGTGGTTTTTAGCATATTTTTTTCTCCCCACATTTTCCTTCTTTGTTTAAAAATAAAGCCTCTAACACCAATTTTTTAAAAAAATAAATTTTATTTAGCAGGGGAAAGGGAAGGTAGGAAAGCACAGTTGAGTAGGGGAGAGAAGATAAAGAGAACTGTGCTGAAATAACAAATGGCGTCATGACCTTCCAGTCTATCTCTGCCATTCTAGCTGCTCTTGTTTTCCTGACTCAAGGTTGATCAACTTCCATGATTCACCACCATTCTGTAATCCCTCCTCTGCCTTACCTTCTACTATCCTAATCATCAACTCTGAGTAACCAGGGCCATCTGAATTCTTTATTCCTGCTCCATGGCTAACAAATAAGACTAGAGATAATAACAAAATTGTACTGATTTCATCCATTATAAATGTATATCCCTTAACCTCTAACCCTCACTGTTGCTAAGTAATCCCATTTTGACACATACTTCTCCCCCAACCTCAGCCATTCAAACACATTCACAACTAGTGATAACTTCACCTCCTACTTCATTGAGACCATTCAAAGACAGCACTCTCACCTCCCCTCCACTTCTCAAAACTTTTATCATGAATTCCTTTTTCCTGTCTCAGGGGAAAAGCAGATGCTAGCTACCTGTCAAGGCAGGATGTCTTCTCCCTGGGCCCTTTCCATTTCCTCTAAGAACTTCTTCCTTAAATCATCCCATCTCACACATCTTTAATCTCTCCTCCATCTATTGATTCCTTCCTATCTGTCAACAGACATTCTCCAATCTCTCCAATGCTGCACCCCCCGCCCCAAGCCTTACCTTGAACCTGCTACCGCCTTGAGCTGCCTCTTTTCTCTTTCTCCAGTTATGCTAAAAGCAGTCTCTATTATAGTATTTTAACTTCTTCATCATACACGCAACTCCTCCAGCCCTGAGGAAATCTGCCAGGGATGACGAATGCTAACTCACCCTCACAGTTACTCTTAAGACTTACAAAGTGTTTTACTCACATTAACCCTGTGAAGATGGATAGTGCAAGTATTTGTACCCTTTTACAAATTAAAAAAAAAAACAACTGAGAAAGAGAGACTCAGCCAGGTGAAATGATTTGCCCAAAATGACCCAGCTAAAGTGTCATCATACATGAGTCTGGAACTGAAACCCAGCTTTCCTGACTATAAATAAGGGCTCTTTCTACTGCTACATCAGGCTGTGTCCTATTGCCACACTACTCAAACTGCTCCTCACGGTCACCAATGACTTCCGTGACATTCTCTTCTACGTGTCTGAAATCCCAATCCCAATCCCTCTCATCTCTTCCAGGAGCCTACTTCATCAATCACTCCTTTTATTAACTTCAATTTCACTTTGCCATCATCTCACACTATCACTCTTATCACTCTTTCTTTTCAATGACAAACTCTAAGAGAGAAAGTTACATTTGTCATCTTGGCTTCCTTCTCACCTAGTCACTTCTTATTGCAATCTGAGCTTCCAACCAATTTATCTCCCTCCCTTCCTCAGAAACGTGAAGTACTAAGTGTCCAGAACATTACATATACTACAAGACAAAGCTGCTGTCCCTTTTCCTTAAATGTTTCCCATTTAACAAAGAAAAGCTGGCTGTAGAGCATCGGTGTGAAGAAGACTCGCATAACCAAAAATTATTGGGATACAAAAATAAAACCAAAAAAACATCAATGGGGGAGGAGGAGAATTTATTAAGCACCCACTATAGGCCAGGCACTGTGCAAGCACTTCCCAAATATCTCATTTGAACATCACAAAAACCCTACAAGGTAGGTATTGTTATTATTACAGTTGGAGAAACTGAGGCTAAAAGAAGTTAAGTGACTTGCCCAGGGTCACACAGCTAATAAGGGTCTAAGGCCAGATTTGAACTCTGATCTTACTGACGCTGGACCCAGTGCTCTATCCACTAAGCCATCTAGCTCGTTTTGGTTTTTGTTTTTTAACATCTGGCTTCCAGTCTCATTATTCTACTTTAAAACGCTCCCCCAAGGTTACCAATGCTCTCAACTGCTAAATCCAATGGCCTTTCCTCAGTTCTCGTTCTTCTTGACCTTTTGGAAAGCTTATGATGCTGCTGACCATCACTCCTAAACACTGTCTCCTTCCTTTGCACTAATGCCCCTGGAGTCTTGGGGTTCTCCTCATACCTCTCTGATCACCGTCTCATTCTATGATTGTACCAGGCTGCCTCAACTCTGAGTCAATAAAGGAAAAATAGAAGGATTGCCATACATTAATGGATATTAGTTACAATTAACACTAGCTGACATTTACTGAGCATTTTAGATACAGTCTGTTGAGATGATGAATTTGTAACGGAGACAGCTGGCAGAGTAGTAGGACCATCTTCTTCAGTAGTACATGAGTAGGAATAAATGCAGCAGTCTGGGGAGTAACCCAGAGTTGGAGTTACTCTCCCAACTGGTAAGCAGCAGCAAGGTCAGAGGCAATGGACTCAAGGAGATGGAATGCAGTTGAACTGGTTGACCAAAGAGTCAAGTGTTAAGACAGAAAGGAAAGGCCAGAGCTGGGGTGAGGAAACAGAAGAACAGGGAAAGAGGAGGGATTAGAAGTTATAGCAAGAAGAAAAGACTTAGGAGGAGTGAAGCAAAAGAAGATAGGAATGTGGATAGAGCACCACCCCTGAAATCAGGAAGACCTCAGTTCAAATCTGGCCTCAGACACATAACACTCACTTAGCTGTGTGACTCTGGGCAAGTTACTTGACCCCAATTCCCTAAAAAGAAGAAGAAAAAAAAAAAGAAGATACACACGGACAATGTTATTCCTCTCTGATTGTTTCAGTGTTCAGGATTATTCAGTCCAACTGAACACAAAAACATTTAGTAATGTAATTAACCAATGTACTAGATGCTGAGGAGACAGAATCAAAACAGCCCCTTCTCTCAAGTAGCTAGCCGAGAGTCTACTGGGGAGAGAGAGATACATACACAAGGAAATAAAATATATACTAAATAAATTCTACGGGAAGAGAATGCTAATATAACTGGAAGACTGAGGGATCAGGAAAGGCATCAAGTAGGAACACTACCTGGGTAGTGCTCTGAAGAGGTGGCGGTGAGACAGAAGGACATTCCAGACATGGAGAATCACTGCAGAATCAAGGAATGGAGGTGGGAGAGAAATGTTTTGTACATTGAACAGTGAGCAGGACCCCTGGAACTAGAATGGTTAGTGTACAAAAGGGAATAATATGAAATAAGAATGGAAGGGTAGAAGGGGAGCCAGACTGTGGAAGGCCCTAAATGTCAAGTTGATGTCTTTTGAGTCAGGAAGACGAGGGTTCAAAACTCACTAGCCATGTGACCCTTCATGTTGCTTAACTTCCCTGAGCATTAGCTTCTTCATCTGTAAAATGAGCAAATTGGACTAGAGCCTCTGAGAGGTCCCTTTCAACACCAAATCTATCGTCCTACAATCCTATTTTCGATTTATGAATCAGGACATAACACAGTCAGATGTCTCGGTTGCAGGAATATCAATGGGCGATCTGCATGAAAAATGAACTGGAAAGGAACAAGGCTGGAGGCAGCAAGACCAGTTACTATATTAATGCAAAAATCTGGCCTAGAAATGATGAGGGCCTACACTGATGTGGAGGTTGTGTGAACAGAGGGAAGCAGCGTTCTGCCGGGGCAGGGAGGTGCAGGCCTCTAGTCCCTGCTAGTGCGGGAGGCTGAGGCAAGTGAATTCTTCGAATTTGGGAGTTCTATGCAGCAGTGGGCTAAGCTGATGGGGTTTCCCAACTGAGTTCCAGAGCCAACAGAGTGAAACGCTGGCGGCAGCAGCAGCCTACCAGGCTGCTTAAGGAGGAGTGAACCAAACCAGGTCAGAAACAGAACACGGCAAAGCTCTCGTGATAGGAATCAGTGGTGGGATCGGGCAAATGAGTGGCTGCTGAACTTCCAGCCTGGGAGAGACAGGGAGACCAAGTCTCCCCAACCCCCCCCCAAAAAAAAGTTCCCTTTTGGACATGTTGGCTTGAGATTCCTATATGACATCCAGGTAGAGAGGTCTAGTGAGTAGTTGTTAACAAGGGGATGGAATTTAGGAGAGAGATTAAGAGTATTATGTGTATTGAGAAGACAACTGAACACACAAGAACTGATAAAGTTACCAAAAGAAGCAGTATAG